GAGTCAATCATTTGCAGCAGGATTGGATGAGGGAGTAGGAGAAAGGAGTCAAGGCTGACCTCAAGGTCTGTGACCTAAGGAACTAGAAGGAAGAAGATGCCATCACCTGCATGGGGAGACTGTGGAGGAACAGATATGGGTGTGGGTCAGGAAGGGGAGGTCAAGGATCCTACTTTGGATGTGATGAATTTCAGGTGCCTTTTATTACCCAGTTAGAGACGTCCAGTCTGCAGCCACGTGGAGTTCAAGGGACTGGTCTAGCAGAAGTTGTAAATGTGAAGGTCAACAGTGGGTAGATGCTCTTTAATGCCAGTCCCTGGATGGAGTCAGTTGAGTTCTAAGTTAGGAGAGAAGACTCTAAGGACTGAGCCACATCTGGATAGGTCAAAAACCTCAAACAACCCAGGGGGAAGTTAGTGAGAGATGTCTGAGGGAGACTGATTTCAGTTCATGGGGGTCTTTATTGTGGGAAATTTTATGCTATTTGTAAATGCAGCACTGATGAATAAACTTAGGGCAAGTTAGCTTTAATGAAACATGGGTCTGTGGTTCCCTGATAAGAAGACGGGAAGGAGGAACAAAGGGAGGGAGGGAGAAGAAAGAAAATGGAGGGGAAAAAAGAAAAGAAAGGAGAGAGGGAATGGAATAAAAGGAAGGAAGGAAGGAAGGGGGAGAGGGAGGGAGGGAAGGAAGGAAGGAAGGAGAGAGAAAGAAAGAAAAAAGATACAGTGGCAAACTACCCCTACTTTCTTTCCTTAGTTTCCTCATTGGTGCCGTGGAGGAGCAGGTTCTGATAGTCCTCAGAGCCCAGGCCAGCCTTTGTGTGACAGGGCCATGTATCTATGGGGAGATGGCCAGAGTTAGACCAACAGCCCCAGTCATTGCCTTGCATCTCATGGCCTATGTCACCAAATGCCATGGTAAGTGGAAGTGATGCTTCCCCAGAGATCGCATTAGCTCTGATAATGCTCCTGCCTCCTGCACACCACTTGCCCTCAGGCCACTTGGAAGGGCAGGACGCAGCCACCTAGAGAAGCCACATGGCTCATGGCAGGGAGTCTGGGTCAGAGATGGGCAGAGACGCCTTCCCCTTCAACCCAGCCCTAGCCTGGTGTTCTTACTGCTGATCCCCAGGAGTTTCTGAAACCACAGGAGGGGACCTCTCAGGACTTGCTGAATGGCCTCTGGTGGTGTACATGTCATAGGAAAATGGCTCTCTCCGTCCCTTAGAGAAAACTCCAATGTCACCTCCACTGTCACTGCCAATGCAGACCCAACCCAACAGCTTCCTGCTGCCAGGACCCGGGACCCTGCTGGTGGCCTTTCTCTGGCGGCAGGAGCTCATTATACTCACAAGGCAGGTCAGACATGCCAGAAAGCTGGCACCTGGGGGAAGACTTTGTGGATAAATAACGTTTGCCCCTCAAGTGAGACAACCTAGAGCCATGCCCCATGCAGTCTCCTAGAAGTCCCCAGCAGGACCAAGCACCAGTTGCCCCCAACAGTAACTGCTCCTGAATCTATCCTCCACTAGTTTCCTTCCCTTCCCTGTCTCACTTCCCTACTGCCCTGCCAGCACTTCCAGGGATCACAGCCTCAATAAACTACTAGCATCCAAATCTTTGCTACAGTTTCTGCTTCTGGAGGAATCCAGTATGAAACAAACCCAACCAAAGAATGACATCTCATCTAGTTCTACTTTGTACACATTTCTGGAGTGCCAGCTATGAAACAGGATGCATCAGGCAATTTTCCCTGGTAGAGAAACCTCACAAATAGATGTACTAGGCAAATATACAAAGCAGTATAAAAGGAGAGTTTGACACTGTTGTGGAAGGTGTTTATAAGAGAAAGCTTCACGGTGGAAGTGACATCAGAGGTTTTGGAGGATAGATAGGAAGTTCTCCAGGTAGAAAAAAGAAAGATGGGGTATAACATGTTTAAAAATACAGACGTGTAACCCGGGCTCGGTGACTCAGCCTGTAATCCCACGCCTTGGGAGGCTGAGATGAGTGGATTGTCTGAGCCTGCGGGTTCGAGACCTGCCTGGGCAACTTGTCGAGACCTCATCTCTACAATAAATCAAAAATCAGCCAGGTGTGATAGCGCACACCTGTAGTTCCAGCTACTTGGAAGGCGGAGGCGGAAGGATCGCCGGAGCCCAGCAGGTCGAGGCTGCGGTGCCCGGGAGCGGCCACTGCACTCCAGTCTGGGCGACAGAGTGAGACTCCAACTCAAAAAAAAAAAAAAATACCGAAGTGTAAAAAAATCACTAGAGTAGTTGAGTATTTCCCATGTTGCTAGAGAATAAAGCACATTTTGGAAGCGGTAAAAGGTTTGTAGGGAAAATGAGGAGAGAATTAGGATAGCAGGAGATGTGATTAAAGAGACAGGCAGAATCTTGTCTGTATTGCTGAAGGTATTTAGATATTATCTCAGAAAGATTGGAGGATTTTTGTAAACTGTGGGTTATCTCTTTCTGATTGCCTAAGTATCAAATGCTCATTGTAGAAAAATTGGCAGATGCAGAAATGTATAAAGAATAAAATAAAATTACCTCAAACCCAGGGCTAATTAAATCACACTGATGTGTTGGTGTGTCTCAGAGGAGTTTTAGGTAGAAGAATGGTCAGACTTGAGTTCTAGAAAGAGGTCTGGCAACTGGTGGCAACCGTGTGTCTGGAAAGATACTGGCTGTTGGTGGGGTGGCCAGCAAAGAGGCCACTACAGTGAAAGGTGGTAGAGGCCCTCCACAAGGTTACTGTGGCAGTGGATATGATGGGGCTTTGCAGGGTAGTTAGGAGGTAGAATTCTTAGGACTTGGTAACCAGCTGGATGGGTGTGAGGTAGAAGAGAAGGGGGAAATGGGACTGCTAGAGATCTGTGTGTCTCCATTCATAGGTTGATGGAGGGGGCAGAAGCAAGGAGCCAGGAAACCTGGCTTCTCATTTCAACTCTGTCACTTTCAACCTGTGGGACCTCAGACAGGTTTCTTGAGCCCTCGGGGCTAGTTTCCACTTGATAAATAGCAGGATGATTCCATTCCTGCTTTGTCCAGGTTTGTCACAATGGTGGATAGTTCAAAGGAGATGAACACCTTTGATGAGTGGGAGCCTACAATTCTAGACTCTTGTCCTGGAACCTCTGCTCAGTCTTTTCCCTGACCTTCTCCTTCTGTCCTCAGGACCCCTAGAAGGCCAGGGCAGACTCCACCATTCCTCTAGATATCCCTTCCTCTTCCTTCTGCATCCTGCACAGAGGCCATTTGTTATGCTGGTCCCTCATGTGCAAATACTCTAAACACCGCCATGCACCCCCATTCATTCCTTCACTTCATGTATAACTGATGCTCTCCAAGTGCTCTCCAACTGATGCTATATTCCAAGTGCTAGGAGGCTGGTGGTGAGATCATGTGGAGGAATGTGGTGGAGATCATGTGTCACTCAAGGGAAGACATCATTTTTAAAAAACAGGATAAGTTTGGATAGTGATATAATGAAGGGTATACATAGGGTGATGTGATAGAGAATGAGGGTGTATTTCAGATTTGAGGGGTCAGGAAGAGACCTCTGAACTAAGACCCAAACAAGTTAGGCAGAAGAAACAGCATGTGTAAACGTTCTGGGGTGGATTTGAGCTTGGGATATTTAAAGAATGGGAAGGTCAGTGCGACTGGGCTGATCCAAACTCCAACCCATTCCACCTAAGAGCTACCACCTCGCTGAAGCTTCTTGGACACCATGCATCCCTTATTTGCTGATTCAGCTCCACCCAAATTCCACACCTCTGCAGTCACAACCAGTCCTGACCACACTGGGTTGTGATCGACTCTACACACTGGACTGGGATCTCCTTGAAGGAAAGAGTCTCTCACTGGCCGGGCACACAGCAGGTGATCAGCATGTTGGATGAAGGAGTCAATTAGCCAATAGAGAAATGAACGGGTGAGGGAATGACTACTGGTCCACAAGGCTGCTCACCTCTTGTTTAACTGTCACCTTTTCAAACTCCCTGACTCCTTATCACACTTCAACCCTACTGCCCCCATCTCCCTACTGATTTACTTTTCCCTCATAGCACAATCACCCCCACAGTTCCACCTACCATATAATGTTTTTATTACTATGTTTCTTGTTTCCGTCTACCTCCCCGACAGAATGCACACTGGTGCCAGGAGTCTTTTCGTGTGTCGCCCACCAATAAAACCCAAGAGCCTAGGACAGTGCCTGGCGCCTAGCAGTCATATGTAAGAATAACCGAGTAAATGAATGAATAGCAGTTCTCGGCCTTATGGGATTGGGGCCACAACCTCAGATGCCCTGCTATCCTGCTAGTAATAGAGAGGTAGAACAAGGCCTAGGTTGGGACTAGTCCACTCGCTAAGCCAGTGGAACAAAGCTGCCCGAGGGCCTGCTGGCCGCCCGTTTGCTGTCCTGGGCGCTGTGCAGAACACTCCCATTTTGTTGATGGAGAAACTCTGACCGGGTAGTTTAAGCGACCTGCTGAAGAGGGCAGAGCTGGTGCTGCCCCGGACACCGCTGCGCCAGTGTCTCCCAGGCCCTTCTCTGACGCCACGCGAATCCCAGTTCTGGGAGTCTGCCTCTCGCTTCCCGTGGTCGGAGGTCAGAGCCGGGTGTTCTTGGCGTAGTGTGGCACCCGGCGCAGGATAGGAAGGGAGTGCGCGCCCTGGTCCCAGAGTCGCGGGGCTCCCGCCGACCCCAAGCCCGCGCCGCGCTCCCTCCCTGCAGTTCCCCAGCCGTGCTGTCAGTCTCCATTAGCGCTAACAGGCTCCAGACGGAGAGGACCCGGCGCTGGGTTAATGCAATCGGCGCGTTACCTGGGGCGCAGGCT